TTAAGGTTAAAACAGGTTAGGGCTTTTTACAACGGCAAACCAGAGATTTTCACGTCTCGTGTACAACACAAACATGTCAAGACGCGACAAGTGAAACTACAAATTTGCTCAGCAGAAGCGTTTTTAACCATAAAGCCTTTGTTTTAATCTCTTCAAACTGAACTCAATTCATACATGCATGCAGTGGACAAAACATTACAACACTTCTTCGCAATAATTTATTTGAAGAATTTTGTTTTGGTTGTCGTCGTCGCGTCACCGTCGTGCATGCTTAAGGTCCCTATTGGTGCAGACTGTTCATAGAAAAACTGTATGCAAAATTGCAAAACGTGATGGTAATTACGTGTTTTTGTGTGACGTGATGTTAAGTGTATTCCGCAATTTTCACTCTCAAACTGAAAACTGAAGATTGTCAAATTTATTCATGAACTTCAAAGCAGAAGCAAAAACAATCACACATGCAATAGTGTCAAAGAGCCACCAATCTCCCCAAGCGGCAAGGACAATTCAACATTATAACTTTGCTGTATTTTCAATACAGGTGTACAGGAGTGTTTTACGTCTTTTACAGTAGTCGGTTGGGCCTGCACGCGGGCTAAAAAATCGGGCAATATGCCAAGGCCTGGCTGATAATGTGCCAGTGTAGGTGTAGTATCAATAATTAGAAAAAAGAACTGTGTAACTTTTCCTTGTATTTTTCAGAGGTATAGTTGTACGAAACTGAATGACATATTGATATTTGTTTCATTCAATCTAAATTGCATGCATTGTGGGTGAAGAGTGTTCAACGTACGTCAAACAATGAAATCCCAGAAATATACTCGTAAATAGTTCCATATCACTTCTATTCATCTATCAATAAACCCATGATAATGTCGGGCAATTTCCATCAACGACAAGCATTTCACTGTCTTGCTCCCCTAATTTTTCTTCCCGTATTCCTATGATTTTTCAACACTATAATATGTTTCTGCGTGTCGTGGTTTATTTCGAAGATATTAGCCTCCTACTTCACTTTTGACAGGGTCTTGAGAAGCGATAATCAATTAATGACGACGGTTAACGGTTTAATGACACCAAGGTCAAAAGCCTCTCACAATGAAACGAAAGTGTATCTGACGATATTAACTCTGTCTCTGACGATAACCTGAGACTGCCTAAGCAATATTTGTATACTTGGAAGCGTTCCACATTAAAGTCTAAAGAGCGTTGAAAGAAAATAACCTGATATGAAATTGGTTTCAGCGCGCTAAAGCATTTATGAACTGGGTCAAGCAACTAGTCACCACTTTGTTGTCTTCTTAATTACTGCGTTGTATAGTATATATACTGTGATGCACTGTACTGTAATTATACCGTACTGTACCGTACCGTACCGTACCGTACCGTACTGTACTGTACTGTACTGCATTGTACTATACTGTATACTGATTATAATATTGCGCTTTTTTAATACTTCCAAATTTAACTCCCTTTAACGCGTGCATTACAAAGAAGCAGATCAATATTTGTTCTTATAATCTACTTAGATATTCAGTTCCCGGTATACGAAACGAATATCGTAAACACTTATCCATCTTAATGTTAACCTTGGCATACTGTAGTCCAAAACATATTTACTCGGAAAATTTTGGAAACATTATGTGTCAAATAAGGAAGTCGAACTCCCTCGCTTAAAAACTATACCCCTAAGAATTAATGAGAGAGTTTATTAAATTTAATGTATTTACAATTAGCTTCGCGAGCTAATCCGGCCATTTTTTAAATTCGTTTTATAGAAAGTGTCATTGAATTTTAGTGTATCGAAATTCCGCGTGGTTTAAACATGTTAAAACAAACGAACAAAACGCGCGTTTTTTCAGGAAGTTTGCAAGGACACTGCGATACTTGTCATTTGTCAACCAATCATAATGCAGTTATTTCACACTACCTGTGTACTCTGAACTCTGTGAAAGATTGAACAGTTTTGGGAAATGCATTATGAGAACGGTTTATCTATTAACAACAGTGGGTTTTAAACAAATCCTCTAATGGGGATAGACGAAAGCTACTTGACCAACTGTCACGATTTCATAAATTCGAATACTGTACTTGCTTAATTAAAACATGATGTCAAATCAGTCAGAAGGTGA